CACACACACACACACACACACACACACACACTCATACACCCACACACATTTGTGGTTGCAAACTTCCGCCCTCTACCACTGTTGGTTGACTGTGCAGCTCAAACAACTTCCGTTTAACTTCCCGCCATTTTTTCTTGCACCAGGCCGACAATCGGTGATCTGTTTAATCAGCTCTGTGGTTTAGATTTTTAATTTATTTTGTCATAAACAAACCCAATCACGGAACTGGATTAATTGGGAGCGTTTTTAAATCGTTTACCGCAAAAGAACAATCAATAATAGGCTGCCATTGTGCTATCTTTGTCATGTTGACGCTGAGCTCATGAGAGAGAAAAATCTGTTAAACAGAGTTCTAAAAAACCGTGATCAAGAATTTATCCGAGTATATTAACAAGGAAGCACCGAGCATTGTTTTGAGAAGATTAATGCCACACATGTATTTCTCTTTAAAACAAGAAATGATAGTTTTCATGGCAACGTTTTTAACTCAAGTTTTGATAACTAAAGCGCCAAAACCCCATTATGCAGCTAATTGTAGATTTTCTGACGATCAAAAAAACGTTTGTTGATAAAAAGCATAACGAAGTAGATGGATTTTGTTTCAGATCTAGAAATTAAGTTTATATTTTATCAAGCCATGGAAGTGTTTAGTGAATATAAAGCTTCTTTTTCCCCCTTTCCCATTTAGTTTTTAGCAAATACAACTATTTCCAAACGTGTGAGAATCAACCTGTGAATACAGCGACACCCAAACCACTTCTCAAGCTTCCATTGAGTACATTATGACGCGCTTCTGTACAATAGGCGGGATTGAATAATTTAAAAAAAGGAACTTAAGACTTTGGAAATTTGGTTGTCGTTTGTTTTTTGGGCTTTTACTGTACACCAATATTATTTGTTTAAAAAACAAGCTCTATGATATGAGAGACAGCGTGGTGGAATCAGGCTCTCGTCAATTTTGGAGCACGTACAGTTATTGGTATCTTCTTAAAGTTTGTTCACTTGTATTTATTTGGATGAAAAATTATCCAATTATTTTGACTACAAATCGAGATATTTGCGAAAGAAGGAGGTGAGGGTCACCTGTTTTCAGAGGTAAAATTAGTGAGAAAATGGCCGCCAAAGATTAGTTATTTTCTTTGCTTAAGAGTCCGTGGTAACTGAAAATTGACATTTTTTTGTGCCTGTATTCAACGTTTTTCAGAAAATCTACACAGAAATGAGTTCTTTAATGGGCATGAAAGGTGTTGAGCCAAAAAAACAAAAAAATTATTAAAATTCACAAACCAGCTGACAAATGCAAGTTTCTTCACTTTGATTATTTTGACGAGAGCCTGATTTCACCACGCTGTCTCACATATACTCTATGAAAGAAAAGGAACTCCAAAAAGTACGTATATTGCAATTTGATAGCTCCATTTTAGTTAAATGAATTTTACACTGAGTTGGAATTATAATCATTCTGCATTTAGGGGATAACACGATTCATCTTATTTGTTGGGAGTGACCCAAAGTCTAGTTTTTAGACGGTAATATATTACCAGTGTAACGTCAGTGTAGCTCTTTCAACGCTTTAAAAAGTACTAACGTGTTAAAGAAAATGAAAAAAAAATCAAAGAGCTGCGTCTTGTAACGGTAAAAACCTAATAGTAGAGAACAATGGAGACTTGAAGGAAACAAGAGCTGTCACAGACACCCGCCAAACACCCACTCAGCCTTCCTCCGGATCCCACGAAAAATCGTTCTCATGTTTATCAAAAGCGACCTATTTCAGATCTAACAAGGTTCGCGACGAGTACATTTGTGAGGCAGCGTGGTGAAATCAGGCTCTCGTCAACATAAGCAAAGTGAAGAAACTTGCATTTTTCCGCAGGTTTGTAAATTTTCATCAAATTTTCATTTTTGGCTCAACACCTTTCATGCCCATTTAAGAATTCATTTCTGTGTGGATTTTTCTTACAAACGATGATTCGAGGCACAAAAAAATGTCAATTTTCAGTTGACCTGGACTCTTAAGCTAAGGAAGTAACCAATCTTTGGCGGCCATTTTCTCACAAATGTTCCCTCTGAAAACAGGCGACCCCCCCCCCC